CTGTAGTTCCCCTAATGTTTCCAACTTCCTAGAGGACCTTAAAGAAAAGAATGCTTTTATGTTCCCAAATAGAAAAGGCATGTCGTCTTCTGCTCACCATTTATGCACAGAGAGATGGAGAGCGAGCTCGTCTGCAGAGGAGACTCGAGCTCAGATGAAGACACTGTCCTGCTTGGGGTCCTAGAGGCTCTCCAGGTTCCCGTCAGCCTTTTTCGGGCCCGGCTCCCCTGTGACCTCGCTGTCACTTCTCCAGCTGCCTTCTGTAGCTGATAAGCACCCGAGCAGACCACGATTTTCGCATTCAGAAATCAGACCACTATTAAAGGTGGGGCTCGTAATCTCTGCATATGACCGATGGTTAAGTTATGGAAGAAGACCCCTTACGCGAAGCTGGTTATTCAGGTAATTGCTATGGAATGGGCTAAAACCACTGACACGTATGGGAGAGCTGAAACCGAACCAGTGAGCTTTTGCCTCTCCAGTTTGGATCATAAACAAAAGTGGAGTTATTCAGCACGTTACCCGTGAGAAGGTGTGCCAGTCAGCTTTTTGATGTCCCCTATTGCCACAATTTAAGGATTAAGATGCTATGTACCTGCCAACACCTGTATAAACATCGTATAAAACTACCTCCGAGCAGGAGTTTGGAGAGAGGGTGGGGTTGCCGTTAAGTGCTCCGATCTGGGGATGGAGGGAGCAGATAAGTGTCAGTTTCTTTCCTTTAGTTCATTTGATACTGTCTTGGAAGAAACAATAGGAGAAATCATAAGAGGCTTTGAACAGAAAGATATTAACTCACAGTTAATTTTGACCAATTGCTAGTCATTTCCCCCAACAAGCTAAATCAAACACCAAGATAAGAAGGCCAATGATTTGTGGCAGAACCAACGGCTGTCCCACATCATCCTAAGATACAGCTTCTTACACCATTATTGTCCATAAAAAACACAATTCAGTTAGGTTCCCAATTGTCATACTATCCCATAGACCTGGGTTTGACTGTGGATCAAAGCTGCTGAGCTAAGAAAGGTTTTCACATTTTTTTTAAGAGGTTCAGACTAATATCAAAAGAGTAACTTTTTGTGATGCAAAGAAAGTATATGGAATTCCATCTTCAGTGTCTATAAATAGAGTTTATTGGAGCACAGCAAGGCGCACTTGTTTATGTGTTGTCTCTGGTTGCCTTCACGGTACAACAGAGTTGAATAGTGTAATCAAGAGTGTGTGACGGCAAAACTTAAAATACGTTCTCTCGGGCCCTGTGCAGAGAAAGCGAGTGGGCCCCTGCCACAGAAACATGCTGAGCCTGCTTTGTAACATGCATGTCCTCTCAAGTGCTATGGGTCCGCGCTTTGTGCAGAGTTGGCATTTAGATATATTTGTCATATGATTGGACTGTGAACATTTTCCTAGGCAGACACGTACAAAAATATATAATATACTGACCCCGCCTTTGGATCTAACAAGGGACATTGAACATACACATGTGTGTTTAATGAATTCTGAGGCTCTGGAACAACGGCGGTTTGAGCTGGTGGGTTCACTTATAGGCAGATTTTTTTTTTCAATCAATACAGTACTGTAAGTATATTTTCTCTTCCTTATCATTTTCTTAATAACGTTTTCTTTTCTCTAGTTTGCTTTACTGTAAGAAGACAGGATATAATGCATATAGCATACAAGATACGTGCTAATCAACCGTTTCTATTATCAGTAAGGCTAACAGTCAGTAGTTCAGTTTTGGGGGAGTCAAAAGTTATATGCGGATTTTTGGCTGTGAGGGGCATGGGGGGGTTGGCACCCCTAACCCCGTGTGGTTCGAGGGTCAACTGTTTTATATATATATATATATATAGCCTAAAACTAAAGTTGCAGGGAAGCTATGTGAAGGAAACCTACCCGCAGTGAAGGTCAAACTGCATGAATTCAAAACCAGTTTCCTAGATGAGTGCTAGTGCCTTTGGCATATCACCTGTCCTCCTAGGCCTCACTTTGCTCATCTGTAGGATGGGGATAATGCCTGCGTCTCTGGGCTCCTGTGAGGATAATCATAGATGACATATGTGACATTTGTAGTTGGGTGCTGGGCACATGGTATGCACTCGATAAATGACAGTCCTCATGTAAAGAACTAGTTCCCCGGATCCGAGAGGGCAGGCCAGGATCCCGAGGTGTCTGGCACCTGCGGACGAGGAAAAGGAAGCAAGCGTTCACGTGCAGGGAAATGTGAGAGAGACAAGACAGAGGGTGGAGAAGCAGTACGATGTACAGGTCCCAGTTTTGAAGTTTGGACTCTAACTAAAAAGAACAGAGCAGGTGCCTGGGTGGCTCAGTGGGTTAAGCATCTGCTTTTGGCTCAGGTCATGGTCCCAGGGTCCTGGGATCGAGTCCCCAGTCGGGCTTCCTGCTCAGCGGGGAGTCTGCTTCTCCCTCTGCCTCTCTCCGGCTCTCTCTCTTTCTCTCTCTCTCAAATGAATAAATAAAATCTTTTTTTTAAGACTAAAAAGAACAGAGATCTGCTGTTTCCACAAGGAGAGGTAGGCTCGAGGGGGTGGTTTAGAAAACTTCCCTTCCATTATCATGTCCCCAGGGAGGTCTTTCAGCTTCTGCACTGTTCGGGCCTGGAAGACCCCAGATGTGTTCGCGGGCATCCATCCCGATCGTACTTTGCTGATCCGGTCGTGACTTTGAAACTACCTGGGGATCTCACGAAGGGCTGTGTTTCCCTAGCAATTTCTGTCCTGGCGTCATTTCAAAAGTACGTTCTGGAAACAACAATCTTCTGGCCCTAGATTCTACATGCGGTTTTGGAAGAAAAATATGGACAAACTTTCAAGCCGAACAAGAGGAATTCTGACTGAAACACAGTTTTGTGCAGGTGGCTGCAGGCTCCGAGGGACTCAGAGCCTGCTGAGTTTTGAGGTCTGTTCCTGACATCTATCACAGCACGTATATGACTTGAAAAAAACATACCCACAATGCTAAAAATACTCCACAGTCTACCCCGACGGCTGGCTGTCAGAATGTTATAGTCTGAATTTTATACTTCCTGCTGATATTTGGACATTTTCACAAGTATGGTGTTTACCATTTTTGTTTTTCTGTATAAAAGGATGGCCGTGGACTCAGGCTTGGGGAGGGCAGCCTCGGGAAAGGATGCATGTTGTGGCCTGTCATTCTTGGGTTTCAGCCCCTCTTGTATGCAGGGGTGAATCTGGAGGATTCTCACCGTGGCTACACCCCTTCCTGGCCTAGCCGAGCCCACACACCTGTTGGGTCTCACTGGTGCTGCGATTTGTCACGGGCTGTGAGCTGGAGGGCAGTCACCAGCTCGTCAGCCTCGACCAACACGCTAATTGTCACCTCATTTTACAGACACCAAAACTGAGAACTTCAGCCTCCTGTCTGTAACTGGAAAGTGTGGCCATACAGCCAGGGTTCAGATCTTCGGACTCCCAGAGTCTATATTCTGACCACACTTGTTGCCACGTTTCTAAGCACCCGAGACGCCCCCTGACCTAGTGTTCCGACCTGTAGCTCTAGGTTAGACGGGTCCCGGGACACGGGCCTCCCCAGGATCGTAACTGGGGGCTGTGGTTGAAGGGGGCGGGGAGCATGGAGGTGTGCTGGCCACCTTCCCAAGTTTATCAGGACAACCATGGACTAATTGATTTTGTTTCTGTTTTCAGAATCCAAGCCGCACGATTGTTCAGATTAATTAGCAAGAGGTGGAGAGTCTGCATATAAACACAGGCTTATTTATGGCCCGATAACTTTTTTCGTTCTTGGACCCAGTGAAAATTCTCAGTGCTGCCCTCATATTTGGCAATGTTTGGGAATGCTGCCATTTACTGATGAGAAAAGGAGAAACTGGGTGAAGGCACTCAACATAAACTCTAAAGTAGAATCCCTTTCAGACTGGGTAGCTCACAGACTGCAAGTCTCCACACGAAATGTGACAACAGGGACATATTACTAAGAAGCAAACCAAAACAAAGCAGGAGGGAAGAGAGAACAAACTGTAACCATGTATATTCTGATTCAGGTTTACCTCGGTACTTACTTCCATCCACACTGTGAATAAAACATAGAAAAGACAGTAACAAGTCCATAGACTAGTCTGTGGTGCATCCCAGCCAGCCTTTCGTCTTTCAACCGAGACACCCTCTTTGTATGTAATATTATGTGTTCCCGTCAATACTATCAGAATACTAACTTTCCACTTTCTTTTTAAAAGATTTTATTTATTTATTTGAGAGAGAGAGAGCGAGCACAAGCAGGGGGGAGCGGCAGAAGGAGAGGGAAAAGCCCTCGAGCACGGAGCCCGACACAGGGCTCCATCCCAGGACCCTGAGATCACAACCTGAGCTGAAGGCAGATGCTCAACCGACTGAGTCACCCAGGCGCCCCATCCGCTTTTCTTGGTCGTTTTCTCTCACTAGTACGTTTGGACTGATTCCACAATCCTAACTTTGCAACACCCACTGGGAGCACATCTCGAGGAGGGGACCCTGCTGGGGTGGTTGGAGATGGTACTTTAGATCAGAACCAGTGCACACGACCGGGGGTCTGGATAATCCAAGGAGAAGGGAGACACAAAACCACCTCTGTGGCTGCCTGTTATTTTTATGCCTTGCTCACTTGAAGTGAAGCTAGCTTTCAGGAATGCCTCAGGCAAAAACTAATGATTGTCATTTGGGTCAAAAAGAGGATAAACACACCCAGCACCTGTGATCACTTGAGCATTTAATGCACCAGTGAGAACGTATGGAAAGCAGGATCTCCTCAGAGCAGTTCTGCTTTGACCAGATTTCGGTATGAAGAAGAGTGGCTAACGAGGCCAACAACTATTCTAGAAGCGTAACCACGGAGTGAACGCCGAGCGCAGAACACACAGGAGGTACCATGTTCCTTCCCAGAACAGCAGGTGGAATTTTGGGGGAAAATCGCCGAAGAACAAACAGACAGTGAACCAGCCCATAAACCCTGAAACTGCTCACCTCTGAGCCTGAGCCACCCCGTCAGCTGGTCCATTTTCTGTTTGGACTGTTCGTCTGTCTAGCGCTCCCAGGAACGGATGGTGTCGAATGTCTGGCACATTTTGCTGGCACGCAACAAACAATATTAATCCTTATCATATGACTTAATCGAAGGCCTGCACAGGAAGCTAAGAGACAAGGTTTCATCTGTCCTCTCTGCCCGGAAGGGACAATCCTGCTTATTTGGACAACTGTGCGTACCGGGGAGACGGACGGCCACTCAGCGTTTCGCCCCTAGCCTCTCTCAATGTCCCGGGGTACAAACATGTGACTCCATAGAGATGGGACTTCTGGCTCTATTTCCTTCTTCAGCATTGCATACAAATGCCTATTCTTTCCCTCTTCAGATAATAAACTCCTTGTGTGCAAAGATTGTACCATTTACACATTTAGAACCTTCCCGGAGCACCTCAGAGAGCAGGCCTCAGTCCTGTCCAGCTTCTAGTACCAAGGAATAACTCGAGAACAAGAACACCAGAATCGTCCCCCCCCAACTTAAAATTCACATGGCAGTAAAAACAGGAATCCCAAGGGGCGCCCGGCTGGCTCAGTCGTTAGAGTACCTGATTCTTGAACTCGGGGTTGTGAATTCGAGCCCCACCTTGGGTGTAGAGATTATTAAAAAAATATATAAAATAAAATCTTAGAAAAAAAGCAATAATCCCAAAGGAACCTCTTCTAAACAGAAGATAATGTTCTCGAAACCGGAAATCAGGGAGTTGCAAGTGCTCCCCCCCACCCCCAGTGCTCCTTCCCTTCCCGGACTCTCCCTCTGCAGCTGCCTGAAGCCTCTGGCCCCCCACGAGTCAAACAGTGACCATCCCATTGGTGAGCACTTGCCAAACACCCTTGGAGAATAAGGCACAGAGACGTTTCGGCACAGCCCCTGCTTACAGGAATTCTCAATCTGGGCACATGAAGAGACAATACCTAATAAGAAGCAACAAATCCTGTACCAGGCACGCATCCAGCTCCTGGGAAAAGCTCAGGAAATGCTTGTTCCAGACAGCAGGGCTCCAGGAGGAGGCCACGCAGAGGCTCACCTCCACGAACGAAGGGCTGGCCTGGAGGTCAAGTGGATCCAGTGTCCCACCTAACTGCCTGATCCCCACGCCCCGGGCTTCCGAGGCTGTGTTTGACTGCGTGTTGTTTCCAGACGGAGAGGTCAGAGCTGGAGTGGGAAAGCATGGTCAGCTCCTTCCCAGCTGGCTTCCCGTCGTTGCTGAAGGATGGACTCCGAGTCTAAGCCCGGTTTGTATCACGCTGCATCATGCCTGGTTGACAGTCTGGAAGTGTGATGTTTTGTGGCAGCTTTTAGTACCTGCTGCTGGGGTCCTGGGTAGATCCCACTTGTACACGGCCCCTCACTGACCAGCAGCCGACACTGGCGGGGCTCCCTAGCACCCGTCTGTGCTGAGGCCTGGCCCCTTGGTGGGGCCGACTCAGTGGACAGGTGGGCTCCAGAGCCGTCCAGGGATCAGGCTGAAGCAGGCTCCAGCCCAGACCCATCCTTGCTCAGCTCCTGAGAGCACACCCCCTAGCCCCTGTGGACACATGAACCCTTGCCTCAGGCTCTGCTTCTCAGGAACTGGACCTAAGGCTTAAAATGCAGTTGCACAGGCATACTTAGTATAACAGAGGCAGGCTGTTTACCCACATTTTCTCAGTCGAAACTGAGGCTACCAGTCACGAAGTCACAGTGACAACAGCGGTGCTTACGGGGCCGGGCTTGCTCGCTCTCAGCATCATGAATTCCTCTACTCTTCCTGTGGGGCTGAGAGCGGACCCCAGGCTCAGGGGCCCCTACCTGATTCCTGGCTGACTGTGTGGAAGACGACTGCTGGGCTTTCTCTCATTCAGCGGGGCAAGGAGGAGGGAGGTAGGGGAGGATGTTGAGTGCCAGATGGTGCTTGGGGAGGACGTGAGAACTTTCTAGATCGGGGTCGTGGATTAGGTGTGAAGATGTGGGTGCGGGAAAAACAGCTCCTGAACATTCATAGTGAAGTGGGCTTTGTTGCGGGTGTTCCTTTTGAGATACCTGTCTCATCCACCACTTAACTTCAGGAGCAGTGCGGGGCAGAGACAGACAGAGACACAGACAGGAAGAAAAATGTAAGGAGAACAGCGCCTCCATGTGGTCCCCGGCTGGCAGTCCACCTGCACGGTGTAAACGGTAAAGCTGTAAAACGAACACGCCCACTGGAAATTTGTCCCCTGATGCAGCAGAATCATTCCAGGTCCTGGGAGGCGGTTTACAGGAACTTGCTCCAGTAGGTCCCTGACGTTCCCCGAAAGCGCTCAATCAAGGCTGTCGTGGAGCAGTACAGTTTCTTGCCCACACGGTCGGGTCCTACCTTCCCGCAACCCCCGTCGGAGGTCTGGCTTGCAGATCTCTTTTCCGGAGCGTGGAAGGCAGGAGGGGTGAAGGCAGGGCAGCGTTTGGAGCAGGGCTGTCGTGGGCATGCCTCCGTGGCTCACGCGGGTCTGGCTAAACGCAAGACGCGGGGCAGCAGGCTCCTCCAACGTGCGTGGGAAGGGACGCTCACAACCAAGAGAAGTCGAAGGCTACTTGGGAGGGGGGTCGCGGGTGGTCTCTGGGCCCATGGGCAGGGCTCTAACACCGCAACAAGAATACTCCCTATCTCTCTGATATGCTCTTAGGGCACATGTCACGCAAGTCACAGGTGGTATGTGATGTTCAGTGTGTCTTGGAAAATACTCTCCTCCTAGAGGACATATTCCTATTCCCTACCATCTGATTCCGTTTTCAAAAATGCAGAACACAGTCAATGGCACACAATCTGCATTTAAAAACCATTCAGGAAAATGGCATTGTATTTATTCGTCTTAGAACTCTATTTGGACTGGAATAGAGCAATGTCCCTCCACACTGTGGGTGCCTGTTGGAGGCTTCGGGCTAGAAAATATCTCCATGCAAACATTCCTGCTATGGGGCTGGGGGTGGGGGGGGTGGGGCACTGCGGGAGGTAGCCCAGGGCTCCAGAGCCCGGGGATGCCGTGTTGAGTGTGGTCTACCACACACTGGCTGTGTGGCCTGTGGCAAAGCAGTTTTCATATGTATCCATTCTTCCTCGGTAAAATGGGAGTAAGGATATCTATTTTATTGCATGATTGTTGAGGTCCAGTAGCATGATATATACAAAATCCCAAGTAAAGGTTTATGAATTCCAGGTGATTAATGATAAATGGTATTTACTATTTTTTTTTTTAAGTAGGCTCCATGCCCCATGTGGAGCCCAACGAAGGGCTTGAACTCACGACCCTGAGATCAAGACCTGAGCTGAGATCAAGAGTGGGACGCTTAACCGACGGAGCCACCCAGGCGCTCCTGATATTTACTATTTTTAATATATAGGTTTTTGAAATAGGGCTTGTGTTTACTATTCATCCTGTATCCAGTCCTGTGAATTTCTTTGCACACAGTAATTAATAGTGTTTGTGGAATGGATGAAGACATATGCTGCATGATCTTCTTTCTCCTTAAACTTCTTTCACATTCATTGTCCTATTCAACGGCAACCGTAAAGATATCAGCCTAATATTTCCCGGCTTAGCATGCTATTGCATTTCTTCTGAATTTTTGCCTTCCTGTTCATGTCCACCGCCACAATCCTGGTTTCCAGAGGCGTTTAAAACACAGTTTGGTATTCTTTAAAAGCATAGACTATACAGCTAGAATGCCTGGTGAATCCAGGCTCCACCTGCCTGTCCATGACTCTGGCCAAGCTTTTAATCAACTCCAGCCTCAATTTCTCCCATCTGTAAAATGGGGACAATAGTAGAGCCCCTCATACGGTTGTTGCCAGGATTAAATCAGGCCCTTCATGGAACATGCTAGACAGTGACTGGCACGTGGTGAGTGCCCTAGCGAGCCCTGCGTGTGTGTGTCTCTACCGTGCACCAGGCGCCACCCTAAGCAAGGGGGGCTACAGGGCTGAACCTCCATGAGTCTCTGTGCTCAAGGAGCTGACATGCTATGCCTTTTCCTTTACATTCATTCTCCTAGCCGGTAGCAGGTTAAGCCCTTAACAGAACAGTATTGATCATGTCTCTTCCCTAATGAAAAATCTCTGATGGTTCCCCATTATCTGCCAAATAAAACATTGCCCTGTCAAGCCTGGAGCCCAATTCCCTATGCAATGCTGCCCTAGTCTTTCTGCCTTTGATTCTTGCTCTGCTCATCCTGGTGAAACCTGAATTCCTGTGACCCTTTGAACATCCTCCCCTCCCGCACTTTCCAGCCCCGACCCTGCCCCTGAGTTCCCAGCACAGGCCACGCCCACACCGCTCCTCTCTCCCCTCACCCCTCCTCCACATGGTGTGTCCTTCTAGCTGCTTGGACTCCATCAGCCGCTCAGTGCAATTCCTGCTCTACCCCTCTGCTCTTCCCCTGCTTTCTCCTTTCTTCCTTCATTTGCATTTTGGTCATTGATTTTTTTGAGAAGGTAATATAGTCAGATGGTTCAAAATTCAAAAGCTCCAAATGAGAATGTTTCCCTGACATGCTCATCCCTCAGACACTGAGTGTTCTGCCCCACAGATATCCAATGCTTTCTGCGTCCCATGATTCTTTTCAGAGGATGTTTTATGCATATCTAAGTGTATATATTATTTTCGTCTTTTCATACAAATGGGAGCATGTTGTACCCAAACAGGAGTTTATGATAGATCCTGTTCTCTGTCTTGCTCTTTCTCACTTGCTATACCACGGAGGAGAATGAGTCCATGTCCATTCCCAAGGAGAGTCCTCCTTCCCGTTATGACCATGGATGGATCATGATGGATGATGGATGGATGAATGGATGGATGGATGATAGCTTAGTCAACTGGTGGCCACTTCGATTTTTTCTGTGTTTTTACTATTACACACAATGCTGCTGTCTGCGTCCTTCCCTTCTGTAACATGTGTAACCGGTGCGTGTAAATATTCCCAGCGGTGGACTTGACGGTGGAGAGATACGTGCACT